GTCTGATTAACTCAAGTGTCTGAACCCCAGTTCAAAACAGAGAAAACAAAAGGGTAGTATGGACATTTTAATGATATTAATTCTTCCAGTCCATGAATATGGTAGATTCTTCTACTTGTTTAAATCTTCCTCTATTTCTTTGTTCAGTGTCCTGTAGTTTTCCAAGTACAGGTCTTTTACATCCTTGGTTAAGTTTATTCTAAGGTATCTTATTTTTTTAGTTGCAATGGTAAATGGTATTGTTTTTTTAGTTTCTGAGAGTTCACTGTTGGTGTATAAAAATGCTGTCAACTTTCGGATGTTAATTTTGTATGCAGCTACCTTGCTGAATTCATTTATCAAATCTAGTAGCCCTTTGGTGGAGTCTTTAGGGTTTTCTATGTACAATATCATGTCACCTGCAAATGACAGTTTTACTTTCTTCTTTCCAATTTGGATGCCTTTTATGTTTTCTTCCTGTCTGATGGCTGTGGCAAGGACTTCCAGTACTATATTAAATAAGAGTGGTGAAAGTGACCAACCCTGTCTTTTTCCTGTTTTTAAGGGAAATGCTTTTAGTTTTTGCCCATTAAGTATGATGTTGGCTGTAGGTCTGTCATATGTGGCCTTTATTATGTTGAGATATGATCCCTCTATTCCCACTTTGCTGAGAGTTTTTATCAGAAATGGGTGCTGGATTTTGTTGAATGCTTTTTCTACATCTATTGATATGATCATATGATTTTTGTCCTTCATTTTGTTTATGTGATGTATCACGTTTATTGATTTACAAATATTATACCAGCCTTGTATCCACAGAATAAATCCCACTTGGTCATGGTATATGGGTTTTTTAAATATATCTTTATTGATTTCAGAGAGAGGAGAGGAGAGGGAGAGAGAGCTAGAAACATCAATGACAAGAGTCATTGATTGGCTGCCTCCTGCACGCCCCCGACTGGGGACTGAGCCTGCAAACCAAGCAAGTGCCCTGAACGGGAACTGAACCTCGATCTCCTAGATACTAGGTCAATGCTCAACTGCTGAGCCATGCCCAGTCAGGCAACAGTAATCCTATTAAAACAAGGTACCATCCTACATTAAGTGTCAGAATTATACTTATAGAAATACTTTAAACATTCTTAATTTTACTAACTCTTAGATAGCATTTAAAACTATAGCAAAAGAGACAAATATGAATGAAAGAGTATTTCTTTTTAAAGTGCTCTTCTATAAGAGGCAATATTTTGCTTTTTTCATACTATCTCCCTTTCAACATGCTAAAGCTTGAAAAACAATGTATAAAAACATTTGTTGTATGTAAACAAACGAAGAGACCAACAATACAGAACATTAATTTTAATGTTTCTTTAAATTTACAAAACTCTGATCCAACTGGATTTAAAGAATTACTTATGTTTGCTATTAATGATGCTCAACACTATCCCTACTATCAAGATAAAAATGTGAACATCATCACCTCTTCCCAACACCTAGTCACAAATCAGTGTCCCTTCTGCCTTCACAATACTAATTTCCACCATTACCTCTCTGATCAAATTCTGGATTACCTCATGTCTAACTTCTGCTACAGCTCCCTGACTCCTCACTCCACATCTCTAATGATGTACATTCATACCTCACTGCTACAGTAAGCTGCCCAAAATGGAATTTTCTCTACATCACACTTCCTAGCCTTACCAAGACCTCCACCACATGCCTACAGAAATATTCATTTTCTATTAATCAGCTTTTCAAGAAATACCTTTTAAGTCTTTCATTACCTATCCAAATTCTGATTTTTCAAAGCCCAGCTCAAACCACCCCTCCGACTTCTACTTGTACTTCTCAGAGCTACAGAACCCTGACTAAAAAGTAGTATTTTACTCCTGTGGCATTCATCACTTTTACCTGGCAGTGCTGGTTATCATTATTCCTATTACATATACATACACACACTTTTTTGATATGACTATAAACAAAGGATGGGAACCATGTTCTTTATTTTTGGATTCTGCTTTCTGACTTGCTGTTACAAAGTTTAACAGGGAACCCCCCCAAAAGTAATGTCTTATAGAACAAAAATAAGTGCTCTGGGTCTTAAACTAGGAGGGACATATTCTTAGAGTCAAAGGAACTGAGATCAGAAGGAACCTTAGGGATGAACTGGCACTTGAGATGGATTTTAAAAGTGGACAGGTCTTCCACAGGAGAGAAAAAGAAGAAAAAGCATGCCAGGAGCAAAGAGTAACATGAATAAAGAGCACAGAAAATATAGGACAATTTCAAATCATTAGCTGAAGAGCATCGTACATGTGGGGTAGAAAAAAAGAAAATTAAACATCTATTCAATAACCAATGCTTAAAGATTTTCATAATTTTAGGTATGTTGATCCCTATCTTATCAAGAGTCTCATTATTTTTTGCTTAAAATAATTAAGAGTATCCTAAATTGTCTCTCTCCTTTTGGTATCTCTCCCTTCCAAACTATCATTCATATCACTGCCAGATTAATTTTAACAAAACAAGATTATAATCCAAAATACCTGTTCACAATTTTCAAAGATGGCCCACTACTCAAAAAATAAAATCTAAACTCCTAAGCACAGCATTGGAAGTTCTTTACAATCAAGATCTTTCCAGCCTCGTCCCTCAAACCTTCTCTTATATCATGAGTTCAAACCATACATAATGTTTTCCTGTCCTTTGTACATTCTACATATTTCAAAATTCCCCTTATGTTGGGCTCTGTGCATGAAATTCCCTTGCTTCCCAAATTCCAATCAGCAATCTTCTACTCATCGGTCAAGATTCTACTCAAATGCCATTTCCTACATGAAGCATCCCTGATAATTTTCTCCTCCGACAACGTTGGTAGAGCCTTCCTAGTTCATGCCACTATACTTTCCAAGTTCATACAGCACTTTCCAAACTGCACTTGAATTAACTGTTTGCAGACTCATTTGTAAATGTATTCTTTAAGGCACTGGTCCAGTAGCTCAGTTGGTTAGAGCATCATCCTGACAAGTCAACGTTGTGTGTTTCAATCCCTGGTCAGGGCACATACAAGAATCAACCAATGAATGCATAAATAAGTGGAGCAACAAATCAATATTTCTGTTTTGTTTCTCCCTCTCTCTTTCTCTCTCTCTCCCCACCCTTCCTCTCTGTCTCTAAAATCAATTTTTAAAAATTAAACATATTCTTTGAAAGCACAGCAAGGAACATTTTGTATTCTAGGTACCTAACACAGAGTAGGTATTTATTAAGTATTTAAAGACAGAAAGAAATGATGGCTGCAGGCAAAGATGCCACTCACTTAATACTACACTGCCGAGGGGCTTGGACACTAGAGGATCTGTCCTCACCCTGGAAGGCTAACAGTCATACAGTACATGCAGAATTATTGCCTAGAAATTTAAGTGGGCAGCAACTTGTAGAGGAAAGCAGAGTGAGGAAAGGTACAAAGTTAGGAGAGTCCTGCAATGCGTCAGGTAAATATAATGTAAGGACCTGAACTTGGATGGTGATGAAGGGATTAGAAAAAAGATGAAAACATTCATGGTACCTTACAGAGGTAAAACTGATAGGACTTCATCCTACTTAAGGGGAGGAAGGAAAAGATGAGAAGTTAGAGTGGGCACTGAGATTCTGAGCATGGATGCTAAAGAGGTCCAGCGACAGAAATGGGAACACTGGGCATGAAGCACGCAGCTGAAAATATGAGTCTAAGGCTTAGAAAAAGTGTCACAAATGAGATATAAGGCTGAGAAAGATCACTAGTGAGGTAACTACTGAAATCATGAGATTAGAAAAGCCAAAGGAAAAAATAGAAGAACCGCAAAGATAAAACCCCTGAGGTCACTGTTTAAGAGTAGCAGGAGAAAGAAAAGAAAATCTGAAGGAACAAATAAAGTAGAATTAGAAGAGCACAGAGTCATAGAAACTAAGAGAATTTCAAGAAAGAAAAATGGCAAACACTACTGTGATCAAAGAGTATGAAAATGAAACATGGTAAGAGACAATCAGAAAGTCATGAGTATTTTTCAAAAGAGGAAATACAGCAGTTTGGCAGGGAAAACGATGTTATAAGGAAGCAGAAGCAATGAGCAAAGCCTCGTTTTTTCATGAGGAAAAAGTACAGGCAGCTCCATAAACGGTATGTCCTGCCCTGGCCGGGCGGAGAGCTGAGCTGGCATCTTGTCCCTTGCATAAAAAAGGCTGCCGGTTGGATTCCCTGCCAGGGTGCATACCTAGGACGAGGGTTTCATCCCTGGCTGGGGCACATACAGGGGGCAGCCAATCGATATTTCTCTTTCACATCAATGTTTCTCTCTCTCTGTCTCTCTCTCTAAGAATCAATAAAAACACATCCTCAGGTGAGGATTAGAAAAAAAAGTGTATGTCCTATTTTTTTTAAATGTAGATCCCTGACGAATTCAAACCTTTTACCTGATAATTTGAGTCTCTAAATAAATTTGAAAATAATGAACATGATTTCTCTGTACATATTGTTTTAGAATGATTTCTCCCCCCTACCCCTGGTTTTATTACAGTTCTCACTTCTTTAAAATAAATAAATTCTATCTCCAAAGATTTGTTATTTTAAGATAATTTTATCCTAAAATTTAAATATGTGAATGTTTCAGAATAATATAAACATTCATTTTTATATAATCTTCCATTCTGAACTCTGCTTAGTCATCTTTAGAGGGAAGAAATATACATATATACACACACACACACACACACATATACACACATGCATATATATAAAATTTAATGCTCATTTCCTACAATTAGAATAAAGAAGGTGTTATTAGTAATAAATGAATACTTTCTACTCCTGAAAAGATTCAACATTATTAGGAGAGGAAAATATATTACAACTACTTATGATTCATAAGGAAAGTGATTAAAGAAACTAAATAAGTTAAAGGTGTAGCAGTGATTTAGAAGAACTATTGTCAAAGGTTAAAAAATGAGAAGTTTCACATTATTCTAAGAAGTCTTTTCCTTACCTCAGAGATGTGGCTAGAGGTAAAACTGTGCCTCCAATTTTCTCCAAACAGCTTTGACCTATGCTTCCATCTCATGAATTCCAAGACAGTATTAAACTGATGCATATTTTCATAGATCTGTTTAGAAAAAAGAACTTATTTCAGACTGAAAGAATGGGAATAACACATGTAATAGCAATACTAAAAATTCACCGTGTGTAAAACTATATATTTTCAATGTAAATTCAATGAAAAGTTCTACAGTATTTTAGAAACCCATCAGTTTACCATTTCCCGCCTCTACCCAAAGCAGTTTCCCATTTTGAGTATTTTTCTGTTTACAAGGGTAATAGGCTCTGGCTGCGTGGCTCGGGGTTGGTTGGCGCGCCATCACGTACACCAAAAGATCTCTGGTTCGATCCTGGGTCGGGTGCAAACAGGAGGCAACCAACAGATGTTTCTCTTACATCGATGTTTCTCTCTCTCCCTCCTTTTCCTTTCTCTCTAAAATCAATAAAAACATATCCTTGAGTGAGGATTTTTCTTTTTAAGTGTATTTAAATAAAAAAAAGGTAATAGTAGTTTTATGGAAAAAATTACTCACATGTAAAATTCTGAATTGGCTCAGGCCTTTGGGGGAAAAAAAATCACATCTCAAACAGAAAAAACAAACAGCTAGAAGCAGCACTAAAATTTATAATTTTACAACATTCAGATTCCTACTTAGGCAAAAATACATCTGAACACCCAGCTAGTACTCCTATTTTCACTTTTTGTCACAGTCTCAGTAAGCACCCTTTTTTTATTAAATCCTCACCCGAGGACATTTCTTCCATTGCTTTTCAGAGAGAATGC